AAATAGTCAAGTTTTAAAGCGGATAATTTTCTCTGGTAATTCTCTCTCAATAACCAAGACGGCTAAGAGCACGTGATTAAGTTTTTTTTTTTTTTTTTGACTTTTCAATTTAAGGTGTTTGGTATTAATTATATTTAAAAATTGACACAAGAAATTATTAATTTTTTTAATAAAAAACTACTACTTCAACCTCTTACTCTTCCCTATCATCATTTTCTCTCATTACAAAAAAATTAAAATTTTAGAGACTAAAATTTAGGGATAAATTATTTTTTAGGGATCAGATAATTTTGTTACGAGAAGTGTCGTTATTATATTTTTAGCAACAAAAATTAGACATTACTAATAAATTATTATCCTTTTGGGATTAAATTTTTTGGCTCAAAAAATAAACCATTTTAAGACCAAATTATTGTCTTAAAAGTTTATTTATTAGTGACATTTTCAAAATCTTGTCACTAAATGTCTTATTTTTTACTTTTCGGAACGACCTTCTAACGACTATTCTTATGACGATGGAAATTGGTCCCTAAAACAAATAATGACACAGTGAGGGGGAAAGGAAGACTTATTGCAAATAGTAACTGTGCTGCAAGAGTTCCTGAATGTTAATTTATAAATTGGATAAATAATGGCAAACGGATGAACTCCATGAATTTGGACATTAGACCATCAATGGAAGGCCTCAAACTTTCTTTCTTCTTCACCTCTTTATTTTCCATGTTTATAATGTCCAGTGCAGTAGACATAATAACTAAAACCCAGTTCATTACAGGCAGCCAGACCGTAGTTTCATCTGGTGGGAGCTTTGAGATGGGATTTTTCAGCCCGGGCAATCCCCAGAATCAATACTTGGGAATATGGTACAAGAAAATATCTTCTAGGACTGTTGTATGGGTTGCCAACGGAGAAATCCCACTCATCGATTCATCAGGTGTCTTGAAGGTAATTGACCCTGGAATTCTGGCTCTTCTCAATGGTACCAGCAGTGTCATTTGGTCTGCCAATGTGACAAGATCCACAGTACAGGATCCTATTGGTCAACTTTTAGAGTCAGGAAATCTTGTCGTGAGAGATGCCAATGATGACAACCCAGAGCATTTTCTCTGGCAAAGTTTTGATCATCCATGTGATACTTTTTTACCAGGCATGAAACTTGGAAAAAATTTTGTAAGTGGCTTAGAGCGGCACCTTTCATCATGGAAGAGCTCTGATGATCCAGGTCAAGGTGATTTTGCATTTCGGTGTGATCCCCAAGGATATCCACAACTTATTCTGAGTAATGGTTCCATTGAGCTGTTCCGGACTGGACCATGGAATGGTCTTGGATTCAGTGGGACTCCAGGCCTGAAACCAAATTCCATCTACACATATGGATTGGTTTTCACCAAGGAGGAGGTGTATTTCGATTATGATATCGTTAACAGCTCAGTTGTTTCAAGGTTGGCTCTAAGTCATGATGGCATTATGCGGCACTCGACATGGATTGATCGAACCCAGGAATGGGTCCTTTACCTGACTGCACCGATAGATAATTGTGATTATTACAAACTGTGTGGTCCATATGGTAGCTGTAACGTTGGAAACTCGCGAAGATGTGGTTGCTTAAGTAAATTTGTGCCCCGGAATCAAACAGAATGGGGAAATGGAGATTATTCTAATGGGTGTGTTCGGAGGACACCATTGGATTGCCATAATGGAGATGGGTTTCTCAAATATTCGCGATATAAAATGTCAGACACACGCAACTCGTGGTTTGACAGGAGCATGACCCTGATGGAATGTGAGACAGTGTGCTTGAAAAACTGCTCTTGTATGGCTTACACAAATTTAGACATGAGAGGAGATGGAAGTGGCTGCTTGCTTTGGTTTGATGAATTGATTGATATGCAAGAGTTCAGTGAAAATGGGCAAGGCATTTACATAAGGATGGCTTCCTCTGAGTTAGGTAAGAATTCATACCAAACACATAAGACTAGTGAACAAAGATTAATTAGATTATACTATGCAAGAACCATGTAGTCAACTATACTGAACATTTACATTTCTTCCTTGGAAAATTCCTCACTACAGTTTAGCAAAAAGAGAGTTGTTTCATCTTGAACATTGATTTCTATTGTCGGTGTGTCTTGAATTCGATCATAATGATGCTCATTACCCGTCTCCATGCACATGCCCGACCCAGTAGGTCTGTTTGTATTTGAGTTTATTTTGGCCCTGTTTATTATTTTTGGATCTTTGTTTATATTGGATTATTATTGAGCACTAGGCATTCTGATGATCAAAGTTTTTAAAGATGAGACATTTTTTCTCTTGTGAAACGAGAGGTAAGCACTTCAAATTTGAAATTTTTATATTTAGTAAATAAATAAAATATTTTAAAGTAGCAAAAAATATTAAAATTAATATGAATGTGCAGATACTTTTTTTTCTCAAGACCTCGAACATTTCATTGTAGACAATAAGGAAACTTACCCTCATGAAATCGACATCCTTGAACTTTAGTTGTCAAGTTTCTCACTTGAACCTTAATTTTATTTTTTCTTAATTGGTCATTTACTTGATTTTTTTCTATGAATATAATTGCAAAAGAGGTTATTGTTTTCTTATGTTTAAACCATCTACTAGATTAAGTTTTACAATAGCCTATGACAAGCTCTTATTATGCGTAATCCTCATATACTTACGCATAAAAGGCGTACAAGTTGCAATTGAGGCATAGACCCTAGACTATGATTCTCAAGTATTTAGGGAGTATTGTCTCAAAATCGAAGCCTCAATGCATTTTGCTCATGATTTTAAAAATGAAGTGCAATTGTTATGTAAAATTGTTACGTAATTATGTGGGCAGTCACTGCCACCTGTTACGGCTGCTATGGTGCTGTGATTGAATTTCACAAGTGTAACCGTTGTTAGTAATAATGGCGATAGGGTCAGCTACATTTAAAAGTCATTTTTTTGATCATTTTCTTCTTTTTCAATTTCTATGTTTATTTATTGACTGAACATTAAAGATTGATCATAATTTTTATATGTAGTTATATGTTATGTTACTCCTATAACTTGATAATTTTAATTTGTTTAATAAAATAACAGTGGCACTCAAGTTTATTTGTTGAACATACATAATCTACAAATTTGAAGCACAACATAACATAATATTATAAGCCTATAACTATTAATAATAAAATAAATAACAGTAAAGTACTAGTGGTGCATTATAAATTTATGGCGCATGAAATCATTAAATATTAACCAAGCGAAGTGTCTCCTACGGTTGGGAGTGGAATAAGAGACAAAACTTAAAGGGCTTGTAAGCATAGGGTGGGAGTTCAACTCCACAGGTGCTAATCTAACTATTAACCACTTATTTACGGTTTCAATAAGTTTGCATCTTCTTTATTGATTGGACATTTCATACGGGGTGGGTAAATTGGACTCTTCACGGGAACAAACAACTCTTCCACTTGACCTCCCATGCTTGATGCAGTTTGGATGGAAGATTGAGCATCTTTGCCCGGCTTTTAAATGATTTTAATTAAATTCCTTTGGTATTAGGTCAAGCTGACCACAACTTGAAGGCAAGAAAGAGGCTTGTAGTCATCTCAGTAATCTTGACAGGAACACTTGCCTTGGGCATTTCATCGTACATTTGGAAGAAAAAGTGGAAGCCAAAGACAGAAGGTAATAAAAATTAGTCATTGATGCTTCAGTATCTCACGTTTGTAGGTGTGCTTGCTTGAACGTTTACCTGTTTTGAACAAGTTGTTTCATTTAAATGTTCTTGACGGCCCTCTTCTATAGGACGAAGAAGACGTCATCCTGGAGAAGCTTACTACAAAGAAGCCAAGAATGAAGATATAGAATTACCGTTATTTCACTTTTTTACAATCACTAAAGCTACAGAAAACTTTGCAATTAACAATAAGCTTGGAGAGGGCGGATTTGGACCTGTTTACAAGGTAAAAATATAACTATACTTCCAGTTTTTTGAAAACTAATCGATGCCCAACCACATGAACTGTTGACAGTAGATTGCCTTATTCAATGACTGATTCAGTTTTTGCTAGAAACTTCCCATTATGTCATGCAGAATTGATAACTCTACATTTTAAAAAATTTAATAAGCACATGTATTTAATAGTTTTATTATCTGAACAAGCTCCAATGAAGATGTAGAGTGACTTTCAACATAGACTTTATGCTAAGCATGGGGTAGAATCAAACATAAACATTATATAGAAGAAAAAACACGAAGGAAAAATATAGAAAAATTAATGTGGCTTCTTTTAGTGGCACCATATTGTACCTATAACAAAAAAAAATGATTTTTAAATGTCAGGGTATGCTAGAAGGGGGACAAGAGATTGCTGTGAAGTTGCTTTCGAAGAATTCAAAACAAGGAGTTGATGAGTTCAAGAATGAAGTCATCTGCATTGCCAAGCTTCAGCATCGGAATCTTGTAAAGCTTCTAGGATATTGCATTCAAGGAGAAGAAAGGTTGTTAATATATGAATACATGCCCAACAATAACTTGGACTCCTTTATTTTCGGTATGTCTTTCTTAAAACCATTAGCTAGTTTCATTCTATTTCATATTGGAGCAACATTGTGACCAATGTCTCATTGTAAAAGGTGAATTACAAGGTTCATAGCCAAAAGGGAGGCACTTCTACTTTACAAACCAGTGATATTTTCGTCTTTTATGCCCCCTTCAATGGAAACCTTCCCATTTTATGAATCAAGGATGAAGCTCTTACTAATGGACCTCTTAACTAGCGTCGTAACAAACTTCCTCCAATGCAAAATTATATTTTTATTTATTGGAATCATTTTGCATTTATACTCGAGAAACCATATAGCAGCTTGGTTTAATTTGGGCAAAAAATTGGACAGATCAATCACAAAAGATGCTACTGGATTGGCCTATGCGCTTCCACATCATCAATGGAATTGCTCGGGGGCTTCTTTATCTTCATCAAGATTCCAGAGTGAGAATTATCCATAGAGATCTGAAAGGTAGCAATATTTTACTAGACCATGAGATGAATCCAAAAATATCAGACTTTGGCTTAGCCAGAATTTTTGAAGGAAATGAGACGATAGCAAATACGAAAAGAGTAGTTGGAACATAGTAAGAATCTTCTAACTAGTTCAAAAGTTTTCCTTTTACAACTATATAAATTTGTTTATTTTTTCATTGTTTTCCTTTAGTGGGTACATGTCTCCCGAATATGCAATTGAGGGGCTATTCTCAGTAAAGTCCGACGTATTTAGCTTTGGTGTTTTGGTATTAGAAGTAGTGAGTGGGCAGAGAAACAGAGGATTTTTTCACCCAAGTCACCACCTCAACCTTCTTGGACACGTAAGCATAAAGTTGAATAATTTTTCTTTTGAAAAGGAAAATCGTGATCTTACAAAAAAAAAAAGGGTTATATATAGAAAATTTATCTATAATGATATAGCAATAATATCTCTAAATCCAATTATGAGCAACGTTGAAGGATATTTTATTTTAAAATAGAATGCCTCAATTCAACCGCATGATTTTGTATAAAAATTATGTACAATACTTTTTGAATAATTCAAACCAGAGCTTGAAAGCGTGTTCTACTATTCAGGCCTGGAGATTATACAAGGAAGGCAAGGCTACAGAGTTGATTGATGTACAACTACGGAACTCATGCAATCTAACTGAAGTGTTACGTTCAATTCATGTGGGTTTATTGTGTGTGCAACAACAGCCTAAGGATAGGCCTAGCATGGAAAGTGTGGTTTTGATGTTCAGTAGAGAGGGTGCTCTGACTCATCAGCCTAAACAACCTGGTTTTTTCACTGAAAGAAATCTCCTTGAAACAGAGTCAGAAAGAAGAAAGATTGAACAATGTTCAGCCAATATGGTCACCATAACACAGTTAGAGGCCCGATAGAAGACAATTCTTGTTGGTGTGTAATTGTTATGATCCAAGCAGGACCTTTGAGTTTGTTTAGCTAATGAACACAATGTCAAAGTTGTCTTTCTTGGCAATGAGCTTCAGAAATCTTGGCTTATGGACACCATGTTAAGCCTTGTTTTCTATGCTACAATTCGACTTACCTATGTCTTTTACTTAGTTTGATTGCTTTTCCTTGTCTTGTGTTGGCTATTTGTTTGTTTCAGATTTGTGTATCTAAATATAACAATGGGTAATCATATCTTGTAATCCCAACAGATATTTTATATAACACACGGTTCTGAATACCGTAATGACAATGGTTTCATTTTTATTAGGGAAAATTGACCAATAGTCCATCATTTAGAAAGTTTTGTTGCCGAGGTCCAAGGAATGGTCTTTGATAGTAACAAGAATAGACGCAAGCTACTTATTGGTTGTTAAATCCAAACATGATGCATCAACAAGGGAATCATGGTGTGAATACATGCCTAACAAAAGCTTTAACTTCTTTATTTTTGGTTCTTCTCCCTCAAGCTTAACAACTCCACTCTTTATTTTAGTTCTCTCAACATTGAAGTAGTTTTATATTTAGAAATTTATTTCTTGTTATATTCAAAAATTCAATGAGCAAAGCATGAAAATGGGTGCAATGGGGTGGATATTAATTTCCCATCCCCATTCCCCTATAATAATTTTTCTCCATTCCTCCCATCCCCCATGGGTACTACCCTCCCCATCCCTTAATGGGTTTGGATTTTTCCCAACCTAACTTAACACTTTTTTTTTTCTTTTTCTTTTTCTTTTTTTTACAACCAAAGCTAAATATACATTTTATTTTATTTTATTTGGCTCAACAACAAAATCAAATGCACATTAATTAATTAATTAAAAATTTGGGTTTAAATTAATCAAATATATAATTTTGAAACAATCAAATAAGTTTTTAATAATTGAAAAAAATGTGATAAAAAAAAAGAAAAAGAAAGAGTAAATTACATTTCTCACCTCAAACTTTTATAATTTTACGAACAATGGCCCTTTCTTCGGCTAAAGCAAGGCTTCAAGTGGCAGTGGTTTCACTAGAAGCTGCGAAGGAAGAAAGAGTGATTTAGAACATGAAAGTGGAGGGGAAGAATCGAATATATTAAGGAAAGATGAGGAAGTAGTCTTGGTTGCTTGGGATGATATTAGAGTTTGTCAAGCTACTTTGACAAATTTGGGGCAAAGCTGAGATAATTGCAAAGTAGAAAAGAGGAATTGCAAAAGGAAGTGGATGGGCAAAATGAGATTGTAGAGAAAGTGGAAATAAATGCTTTAAAAGTGGAGAAAGATGTGGCAAATGTCATGCATTTAGTGAAGCAAGCTCTGAGAATGAGAACCCTAATTCTAGACAAGGTAGTGAAAACATATGGAGGAAATGGCCGGGTACCCATCCCCGACCCATTCCTAATGGATATTTAAAAGACACCACTTACCTGACCCGACGGGTAAGAAAAAAGGAAAAAATTCATATATTTAGATCGAGTCTCCATAGGTACCCATAGGGTAGGTTCTCTATTGCCACCCCTAGCATGGATTAACAAAGCCAAAATGTTGCACAAATCTAACTCATGGCACATTATTGGATTGGAATAAGCACTTTCACATTACCAACGTATCTCTTGGGTTTTTTATTTTTTTTATTTTTTTATCTTCATCAAAATTTCAGACTTAGAATAATTCACAAAGATGTCAAAGCTAGCAGTTGCTAGATGTTGACAATGGCTTCATTTGGGATGTGGATTGACTTTTTGGCTTTTTGGCTCTAGTCTAGGGCTAAAAGGCCTCGTTTGGGATATATTTTTTGACTTTTGTAAGAGAAAAAACGAAATAATTATGGTTTGGATTTGACATTTTTTAGCATGGGCTAAAAGGCCTATTTTGTCTTTTTGTGGCTATTTTAGCCTTAACCCACCCTAACCCAACTTCCCAAATGAGTGCAATGAACCCAAAGATATGGGACTTTGGCATCGCCAGAAGTTTTGGAGGAAATGAATCAAATGCAAATACAAGCAAAGTGTTTGGAACATAGTACGAATATATGCATGATTTATGTAATTATCGTATTTCTATAAAATTTTCTTCTTCTTGTAATATTTTACTATAGTGGCTATAAGTCTTTAGAGTACGCAATGGATGTGATTTTCTTAGTAAAATCATATGTATTTAGTTTTGATGTTTTGGTTCTAGAGATTGTTATCAAGAAGATAAACAGAGGTTTCATTCATTTAGACCACCGTCTCAATCTTCTTGGGCATGTGAGTAACAGTGTATAAATTTGTATCATCTTATATTTGAATGTGCTTAATTAAGCCAAAATTTTAAATAGCAATATCACAAGATGAATATTTGCATCAATCATAGCAAAGTTGTATTAGGTTTATCAAGCGATAAGTATCGAAAATTGATTGACCTGATTGTGATTTTTTCAAAATCTTTCCAAAATTAATTTTAAAAAATTCTTAGAACAATCTAGTTTTGAGGAAAACTGAAAAAGTTACTGTTTTCAAACAAAAATGAAAGTGATATGAAAACAATATGCATTTTCAATTTTTTATCGTTTTGTTTGTGAGAATAAAAAAAATTAAAATATATATCGACAACAGAACCAAATGAGCCTGCGAACCTACCATATCGGCTATAAACAGATATGGGCTGGTCTGCATATGATTTTCATTTCTATCATTAATATGTATTAGTTAATATTTAAAATATCGCCTTAAACATGTGTTTTTTAATGTTGTCTTCAGGCATGATCACTCTACAAAGAAGGCAGGTCACTAGAATTGGATTGATGGATCTATGAGGGACTCGTGTTATCTACCTGAAATGTTGAGATCAATCCTCGTGGTACTGTTATGTGTACAACAGTGTCCAGAAGATAGGCCAAGTATGTCAAGTGTGGTTCTGATATTGGGCAGTGAGGGTGCATTGCCTCAGCCTAAATAACTTGGTTTTTTCATTGAAAGGAATCCACTTAAGGTTGATTGTTCTTTAAGCATAGATGCACCAAGTTCAGCTTCAGTAAATGACATCGCCATTACACTCTTAAATGCTTGATAGGTAATGAAACAATCTAAAAACCGTTCACATGATCAGACATAACCCTTTAAAGAATAATTGGTCAAAGAACAATCATAAGAATTGAGTCCCACCATGGGGTCACAGCATACTCCCATGAGTCCTACAATGGGATCCATACATAGTGGGATTCACCCATTGTAAGTGTTTTACGATCAATTTTTGTATAGTTTGTTTTTGGACTGGTTAATTCATCTATAGATTAATTTTAAATTTTGTTTATTTATTTTATTTATTTATTTATTTATTTTTAAATTTTTTATCCAGACAAATGGAGCATAAAAGGAGAAAAAATTGGGGCTTTCTTATTCTTTCCCCGATTGAATCAAGTTAGTCGGCGAATCTTCCTTACCAGTGACCATCCTATTGGTTGGACCTTTATTTTGGTCAGACTAGCATCGTGTTTGATAATTTTTTTTTTTATTTATACAAAAGTAACAACGATTTCAAAATTTTATGAATAAGAAAAAGATGCTTCCTCTTATTTTCAAAACAAGTTCTCATTCTCTCTTTCGTTTCGCATCACCAATCACCACCACCTCCAGTCACCCCTCATTATTGGCTACTACCTTCGGCCACTTTCGACAACTCTCACTTCATATCACCACCTCCAACAACTCATCAAGAAGTGTTGCCATAAAAGTTATATTATGTCATGGTACGTTTGATGATGGTAGTAATGGCAGTGGTGGTGTAGTAGTAGAAGTGAGATGGTGGCGATAATAAAATAGCATTAATATGACTTTAATTTGTAAAACGATTTTACTTTTTAAAAAAAACATTTTTTTTATTAAAATACTTTTTATTAAATTTTATATTTAAATATATGAAATATCTGAAAATGCGAAAAATATTTACCTCCACAAGAAATGGAGCATGATGGTTTGATTGAACCTGTCAAGTGTGTGCTATTCTAGGTTGTCAATTTTAATGCCGTGCCAATTATAAACACCACTATTCAATAAGGTGTTAAAATCCATTGATAGCTCAAAATCACTCGTATCGAGTCAATCAAAATATTATATTTAAATATTTTTTATATTTTAATTCTTTGAGTATAGAAGATAAATGATTAATATAATAAAATGAGAAAATTATATTAAAAAATACCTCAAAGTTTGATTGTTATAACAAAATAAATTCTGAGTTTTTTATTTTGTCAATTTAAAATTCTTTTTTTTATTTATTGTAATCTAAATCATTTGTCTATTTTCGTTAAGTAAAATTGACAGAAAAATAATATTTTAGTCATTAAATTTAATACGGATGTACACAAAATGTGTAAATACATTTTTTCATTGAGTCTAAAATGTCACTAAATTCAATCAAACTTTTGCTTTCTTTATTCTTAAGGTGAAACTCTACAAAGTTTGTATGAAACGTTTTAAAATCTCGTATAAATCCCTCCTTTCTACCAAATTGAAAAAACCGATAAAACTAACTTATGATTTGTGTTGATTCCTCAGCCATCAAATCCAAAAAATCAGATTTGGTGTTAAACTTTCAATACTGATCGAACCGAACCATTTACACTCCATGGTTCAAAGAATTTCAAGTCCTGGGTCAAAAACTCTACCAACCAAACAAATTTAAGGAAATTAAAAGATGAAAAAGAACGAACTGATGGTATTACTAGAAATTATTATTATTATTATTATTATTATTATTATTTTATGATTGAAATGAATAGGTAACGACAACTATAGAACTAGGACTACTAAACAAGTTGAATAATAAATTATTTTACATTTAATAAAATTTAAAATGTATTAAGTGAAAAAGGAAATTACTATATGCCTCATTTTATTTATTTATTTTTATTGGTATATCTCACTTGGGGGAGATTACTAGGAATCCAACCCTTGGACCAGAGGAATATCTAGAAGGTTATAAGAGAAATATGCCAACCCTTCAATTTGATGTCTAATACAGGGAAAAGGAAGGGGGTGGTGGGTTGATATAAGTATCAATATTTATTTTATTATTATTATCATACATTAGAAGTGTAAAGTGTATTAAATTTAAAATTTAAACTAATTATAACAGATATTTAAAACAATTAAGATTGAGAAACATGACAGTTTTACATAGAATAATGTTAAATATATAAAATTCATGGGAAAACTTCTTTTGAATTGTATTT